AAAAAAAAATTAGCATGCAATGATATCAAATATTGGTGGAAGGTCATAAACTTAATGGCAAGAAATCTGAAAAAATATGAAAATTTTATGTATGCAAAATATCGAACTCTTAAGAAAATAAGTTATAAAAAAACCAATAAGAAAGTTGTTGAATCAAAATAGTCCATGCACACATATAATACCAATTGGAAAGAATGATTGTGATTAATAAGCATAAAAAAAGAGCACGAAAGAAAGCAGTCCATACGCACAACGTATAAACAAAATACCAACAGGATGGGAAGGCTGTGTTTAATAAGCAAAACAGGAAAAAAAAGAGATGCCAAGAAAGAAAATGCAGAGCGATAAAAGTCGAGTAGGGTCGGAACAATAGAAAAGAAGTCAGATTCGAATGAATTGACTAACGCCATGAGGCGTAAAGGTCCTGAGGCGTACACAATGTTCCGCAATCCCTGACGTACTTCTCCACTAATTAGATCTCAGGCACGCAATGAGGCACGTTTACACCTCACCATTTCGAACAATGAGATGCTTTCCACACCCATTATTGTGCTTATTCCCCACAATGCAACTATATCTAGAATTCTTGTATCTGTTATACAACTTCATATTAGATGTCTTATTTATGTGTTTTGTTGTTTTTCCTCCCTGTTATAGTTGTTGATTTTTTTCTTTTTTTGCATCTTGTGTGTAAATTGTTACTGATTACATTTTACGCTTTGGCGTTTTGTATTCTCTCTATGCCCACACTTTTTGTTAAGAATTAAGAATAAATTTTCAATTGGCACACGTGGGTTAGAGTTGAATGTTAGTTTTGAGGGACGAGTCCGACCACTTATGAAAAAAGTTAGTTAGAAGTAGTATTTTGAGGGACAGCCTAATTTTTTTACCTAATGCTCTAACTTACACTAGTCGGATGATACTAAGAGATGTTGAAAGGATTACAACTAAATTTGGGAAAAAATGACCCGATGCCCTATGCGAAAATATTGAGTCTTAAACAATGATTTTGTTAACTGAATCCAAAAATGACATTACTCGAAATAATCTGCAAAAAGTAATCTTATTAGAGTTTTATTCAAAATAAAAGTGCTAGAATAAATTTAAATATTCTAAAAATAAATACTCATAACCCTTTGAGTTGACTGAAACTTGGATGACTTCGGGTCAAGAACATGCATTTTCCAACCATACTCAAATTGTTCCGAACCCAAAATGACCCATATCAGAAAGTATTGAACCCGATCTAGTGACCTTCAAGCTCTAGTAACAATTGATAAATGTATGTACTTAATGTTAGTTGATGATATTTTCCACCAAAATTGCACCCATGCACATGGTGTGTCTAGTTTAGGGGTAAAGTTACCCTCCGATATCAAACATTTTACTTGCATTGTCATCTCTTTCTGCCCACATTTTGAATCTTGCCATTAGGTTACAAGGGATTAAAAGTGTGCCTTTAAGTTCATAACTTTTCAAACACACATAGCAGACTATACACTATCTCTGTTTTGTCAACCTCTTCACTCACAAACAATGCAAAAACATCATTCATTTTAACTTTACCCTCTGCAGTTGGAAATCCCAACATTCTCAGGCTTCATCCCATAAAAAGAATCATTTCTCAACTTCTTTTTCTCGTATAAAAAGAGTGATATTTCTCAACTTAGAGATATATATATCTATAGGTATTTTTAGTGCTTTTTAGGAAGTGTGCCTTCCAAAACTTAAGAGTTATACACCTATCACAGTGGACCTTTTTATGGGATGGAATGTGTACATTTTTATTTCCCCGTTGCAAAAAATAGGCATTTTACATTCTGTATTCTAACATGTTTCTATTAGTTTTCTTGAACCAGTTCTTTTCGAGACAACATCTCTGCCTGTATAGGTAACACAAAATGCTTCTCTACACTCCACAGGTCCCACTCATGAGATTTTACTGCTTTTTCTCATGGGACCATTATTGAGACCTCTGCAATGGCCTTTTATCATATGAGACAACACTGACTATTTTGTACCCAGTAGATAACTGCTGAATTCAGCTTAATATTCCAACCCGAGCTACTCATTATCGTTGCACCGAACCTCAACAGCCCTTCTTTGAGGGTCTAGGATTGACTTTCTTGAATGGTCTAGCATTTATGTAAACATTTGAGGTTTCCCTTCTTGAAACTGTGTGATGGCCACTGATTTCATTGCCTATTTTCCTTTTTTGATGATGATGTTACACCTATGAGGTCTTTAACAGTTTTAGTTGTAAGGAAAAAAGTATTTCAAAAAATAGCACTCTAGCCTCACATATGTGCCATTCTTGACTTCTCGTGGATTTCAATAAGAAATGTGCTCTGAAATATTATAGTTGAAAAAAATGAAACTTGATCTTTTCAGTTTGCTTCTATTGTAATAAGATGATGGAGTGAAACATTATACAGTTGAATAAGTACATTTAACCTCACATGTAAGCTCTTTTGTGCTTGTCATCCCATTGAATTCATTTGTAATGTATGTTTACTATGTTATGACTTATGAACATCATGTGACTTTTATCTAGTATTCCAATGTATTTAATATAAGATGATCTTTAGCTCTTTAAATTTTTAATGTTTATATCATTGGGTACTTAAGACTAAGGGGCTGTTTGTTTCAGCCTCTTAATGGTTCAGATGTCTGAATGGTTCAACACTTAATGATTTAGACTGTTTGTTTCAGCCTCTTAATGGTTCAGATGTCTGAATGGTAAAGAGATTTGCCTCTGAATGGTTAAGTATTATACAGAGTCTGAATGGTTAAGACCTCTTATCTGAATTGATCAGACATTTGCCTCTGAATAGTTAAAGCAATATACTAGCTCTTAATGGTTCAGACCTCTTACTGGTTCAGCACTTAATGGTTCAGACCTCTTACTGGTTCAGCTCTTACCTATTCAGAAGTTGCCAAACAGCCCCAAGGATCCATTATTTTAGGATGATATCTACTACATATTACACTTTTAGTACATGTAAACATGTATGTTTTTTTAAGAGGTGTACATAAAGTCAAGCCATGTATAATTTGAATAAAGAAATCGAGAGGTTTTATCAAAAGTTGAAATAGTCTTCACCATTTACGAAATAAAACAAAAACAGTAAATACATTTGATAAGTTGTAAGCTTAGCTTCCAGGTGCTAGCTACCGGTAATTTAACTTCAAATGCATGATCTTGTTCCGCCTTGTTAAGTCGTTGCCTAATCCATGACTAGTTTCCGACTAGTCGTCCGGGCGGTTTCATCAGCGCGACTTCTCAGTCGCCCAAGGGAAGACTAAACCCATGGTCATGCAGATCGGTGTCTGACATTGCCTAGTCCCTGCTTAATCTGTGGTTTTTTGTATGTTACAACTTCTCAGAATATTGCTACTTTATTTAGTACTCTAACACATGTAATACAATTTGATTTGTATGACTAGAATTTTTAGTGATCTTATATTAGTGTGAGTGTTACAATTTTTACATTGTGTGTTTGTATGTGCGCGCGAGTGTGTATAGTAATGTAAATTCGAGCCCCCTTTCCTCCTCCACCCTTTTCCGAGTTTAGATTTAGGACTTTAGCTGCTCTTGAATGTGACAATTTACGTGTATAGTTTCAACACCATAAGTGAAGAGTACAGTTTCCACATTTGATCGTGTAGTCATTTGATGGGTCTAAATACTTTCTCTCATTGTAATCATGTGCTACAACTTGATCAATGTGGTCACTGTTTGCCAGACTTCACACTTTTAGGTACATTAGCTCGCTTGCCAAATAGTCTGTCTGCTCTAACCAATCTATGTGTGAACGGTACTTGTCGTTTATCAGACACTGGGCTAAGTGCTCTTGTTTCTTCTGCACCATCAATAATCTCAGTCAGTGCTCTCTGCTTTCATCTGATGGAATCAAATTCTTGTCCGAGTCATTGTGGTCTGTTCTGAAGGAGTTATATTTAGATGATTGCCAAGCCATAGACAGCGTGCTTCTTCTTCCCCATCACTGTTAAAACTTAAGTATTTGGAGGTTGTCAGTTGCGGGTATCCACACAGTTTGTGATTACTATGTTATAGAGTTTGTTTCTCAACATGGTCATATTATGAGAGAGCTTACTTTGAAGGACTCCATTTATGATGTTTATATATATATATATATATATATATATATATATATATATATATATATATATATATATATATATATATATATATATATATATATATATATATTATATTATATATATAGATTTTGGTTCTGGTGAGAATGCAATCTTAAGAGAGAAATGAGAATGAATCTGGTGCTTCATATTGTGAGATCTAAGGGTCAAGATTTCATCAAAATTAGATGCACCAAAATGGTGCGAAAATGCATCACGTCGAAATGCACCATAAACCTTCGAAAATGCACTATCTCAAAATCTAAGCGCAGGATGCAATCTGAGCCGCACGATGCATCAGATCCGACGGCTAGATTTTATTCTCATTTCTCTCCACAAGGTGCATTCTCACTTGAACCAAAATCTATATATATATATATATATATATATATATATATATACATACATATATATATATATATATATATATATATATATATATATATATATATATATATATATATATTGTCATGGATGCAGGAAATTGACAGATTGTTCATTGAAAGCTGTTGCTGGATCTTGTCCTGCATTATGTGCTATAGATCTGAGTAATTTGTGCAAATTGACAGACTATTCTCTTGGCTTTCTTGTGAATGGTTGTATTGCACTAGACAAACTAATGCTTTGTCGGAATACATTCAGGTTGGTTTACTTGAATGTTAAGTTATATAACATGAACAATATGTATGCGCTTTTTTTCTCTAGTTTGTAATCTTCTTTAAGCCCATTTGGTCATTATGGTTGCCAAACGTATATGTCTGAACATTTCGTCATCATTCTATTACTGAAGTTTGATACAGTATTTTTTTCATAGATAAGAACAATGCTGTTTTTGTAACTTAATGAATTCCTTTTCATTCTTCTTTGACAGTGATGAAGCTATTGCTGCATATCTGGAAACTTTTGGAAATTCAATGAAGGAACTATCACTCAATAACATCAGCAAGGTATCAAACTGACACTTGTAGTTCATTTACAGCAAGAAACAAATAATCTCCTCGGCGGAAAAATGATACGGACTGATTTCATTGTCCCACACCGGTTAAATGGGGAACTTGGTGATGGGTTCATATAGCCAAGGGTTCTCCCACCTTAACAGCTAGCTTTTAGGGTGTGGCTCTCCCTTGTGCTGTATCAAAAAATGCACTTTGATATCTTGTTTCTCCTGTGTGATAGATAGAAAGTGAAGCATGAACGAAAATATCTAGACAAGAGCTCTTACTAGATCTCTATTTATCTAGTTCTATTTTAGAAAAATAGTTTTGGTAGTGCTTGGGTTATATGGGTCTAACATCATTTATTTCTAAGTTCGTGCTTTCTATTTTTCTATTCCATTTTTTCTGTGAAGAATTTGTGGTATACAGGTATCTAGATCTTCTCGTTTCTGTTCTCTATTTTTTTTTTTCATTCTTTATTTCTCTCGATCTCCATCTCTGCTACTTTTTTCATCGGGTTTTTTTTCTTTGTTTCTAACTTTTTTGTGTTCTAGGTGAGACCGATGGGCATTTTGGCCATGTATAGACAGCTTAAGCTATTCATAAAGATCACTGAGGATTCGGGCACACAACTGCTACACTAATAGACGTAGACGTGGGCACAAAGCACTACGGTTGTGCTTCATCCGACAAGTGCTTGCCCGACTTGATCATCTAGCCTTTCAGGTAATATAATTTTTACTCCATATTGCTTATATCTATAAATAATTTTGATGAGGCTGTAAGTGAAAGTAAGCCAATGGAAGATAGTTTTTGCATGCGTTTCTTGGACTATGTAATTTTTAGGTTGACATCCTCGGTATTTACTCAAATGTAATTTTTTCCAAAAAAAAAAATTAGATTTAACATTTGACTCAATAGGTATACGAGCAATAAATGAAATACTGAATAAAACCAAAAAATTGCTTCCGGATATTCAAAGGTCTTGCTTGACACTAAGGACTTTATGCACTAGACAGAAGCCACGATTGGGACGTAGACCATGTGAACAAAATCTTCAAAAACATAACACTATAGAAAGCCAAGAAAGGCAACGGAGTCACTAGAACTGTTCTTAAGATAATGGTACCCGCCTACCGTCCTGAAAAATTTGGGCACCTTCCTCCTAGGATAAAACCAGTATCGTGTATGGTGGTTGTACAAGCCAAGCTCACACCTCCGTCCACCAACGTCGTTGGATCGTCGTTGACCGAAAAATTTGAAGGGGATCGCCGAAAAATTTAGTCGGAAAACCAAGAACTCTCATTTAGAATTAAACTAGAAAAGTTTTTCCCTCTTCTCTTTCTCACTCACGTACATATCCTCTCAAAAGATGTGAGTGGAGACTAGAGATTAATTTAAAAAGCATAGATGTTCCCCCTTTGTAATATATTGTGCTAAATGCATACAATAAATCTAGGCATTAGTATGTAGTGCATAAGTGGTATTTTAATGACCATTCCTTTCCGTGGAAGGGGAGAAAGGAAGTTATTCCGAATAATTAGAAATTAATGGCCAATTAATATCATAACATTGGACTATTTTTAGACATTATGTAATATAACTGATGGTGTAAATTACTTGACCGGTCAAACTATACTAGACCGGGTCTAGAATAGTTCGCTTGATTTGGCAAAGTAAGAAAGGTAAAAACACGCAAATTGACCGGTAGGACTTTAGGTGGAACACCTGTAGCCCGATTTATATTATAACGGAGAATGCACGGGTGCTTTTACAAGGCAGTTTAGAGAGAGTGAATTCGGATCCCCCCATTCGAGGGTTACAAGAGGTATATATACTAGGCTGGGGAGCAGGACCACGTGCGCCCACGTGGGGGCATGCTGCTGGCGTGGTGTGAAGTGACTGGCTCTGAGCTGCCTTGTCATCTTGCGCGGGGGGTGGCACCCTTGTCGCGTTCTGGTTTGGAAATATTCCCTCAGCATCCCTGCAATTCCAAACACTACAGTCCAAGTCCTTTTGGATTCCTCTTGCCGACACTTCCCCAATCTCTAGGAACTACACCGGTTGGTTCTTGCAGGTTGGCGTGGCCATCTTTGTAGGGTGAATTAGTCGCCGGTATAGTTTGACCGGTAT